CTTTCCCAGTGAAAAGGCAATTATTGTAGCTGTAAGAGCTTGGAGACTTGCTGTATCCAGGCCTTAGAAAAGAGCTCCTGCCCTTAAACACACATTATTTTACGGTTTGTATACAACGTGACTTTCTGGTGTTATTAACAACCACTACAACTTGCATTACACTGGAACTGGAGATTCCACCAAGTCTCCAGCACTTCACAAACTGGGTTTGATGGTTGCAAATTGCCCCAGGAGAGCAGGATCTGCTCTGCAAGTCTGGAGGTGGGGTCATCTCCCTGCTCCCCACGCCGGGGATGAACGCAATGTTCTTCTCATTAGGGCAACAAAAATTTACCCACATCTCCCAGCCTGGAACGGGGGATTAAGCTGTTGCTTTTGGTCTTCTACAGCCATGCCATTTCGTGTGAACCTCCTGACACAGTCCCCTTTCCCTCCCACCCATGGTGCCACCTTTCTAAACCTCGGTATGCTGGTGACCTGTCACACCAAGCGCCAAGCCCTCAGCACTCTGGTATCCTTCACCTACATTGCTAAGTTTTCAGAGTGCCCAAATATCCAGCATTTCTTTTTAAATCACAGCTTCCTCAGGCCAGCTCCAAATCCAGTGCTTATTAAGATTCAGAGATTAGCAAGGTATAGGGTTGCTTTTCTTGAGTTTCTCGGTAGAACACGGGCCAACGTGCTGTTTTATGAATAATTTCTAGGGTTACTCTTGGCACAGTTACTCTTGCTGCTGCCGGCGGGGTCAGGTTTAACAGATTTCTTTCTCCTCTTACATTACACACGTCAGCTGTGCAATTTCTTGTTCAGAAGGTGGTAGAGCCCACGAAATCACAAAAGACCATTTTTCCACTTTTACAATTGATTCATTGCTCTCTCCTAGGGCGTTGTACGCAAATTGTCAGGTTTGGTTATGCAGAAAAATGTGGTGCCACGCAGATGTACTTGGCTTCACGTGGGGCTGGGCTGCTCTGAGCCTGGAAGGAGTGAAGGTCAGCCAGCAGATGCAGAATTCGTTAGCTGGGCAAGATGCTGAATTAATAGCTCCGTACTGCCCACGCTTCGTGCACCTGCTTTCTTAGGGCAGCGTGTTGCGGTTCTTTTTCAGGCAGCTCAGCCCCATGCAGCCGCTCGCTCACACCCCGGCTGCAGAATGGGGAGGAGAATTGGAAGGGTAAAAGTGCAAAAACTCACAGATCGAGATAACAGCAGTTTAACAGGTAAAGCAAAAGCAGCACGCACAAGCAAAGCAAAAGGTGGGATATCCGTTAGGGCAGCTGGGGTCAGTCGTCCCAGCCGCAACCCCTCCTGGCTTCTTGCACAACCCCAGCCTGCTCGCTGGTGGGGCAGGGTGAGAGGCAGAAAGGACCTTGACACTGTGCAAGCGCTGCTCAACAACAGCTACAACATCCCTGCACTGCTAACACCAGTCACAGATCCAAAACACAGCGCTACTGTAAAGAAAATTAGCTCTATCCCAGCCAAAACCAGTACAGAGAGTCAAGTGCTTCCTCACTGTGCCAGAAGACCACTGCTTCAAGGTGTTGAGCATCCACATCCACATCGTTCTAATACTTAAATCTGTCCCATAAAAAAATACAATTTTGGATAAGAAACTCCTACAACGATTCTTCATAAAAATACCACCCCACACATATATGTATCCACCCTGTCTCTCCCTTCTACACACAGCAGTGAAGGAACATTTGAAAACATCACTGAGAACAAAGAAGAGGAGGGTAATAGTGGTGTCAAAGGTCTAGGTCACCGAAAGATACTACAAAACAGCTGTATGATAACTCCTCCCTTCTATTCTCTCAGAGTAATTTCTCT